GTATGTTCCTATTACCATTTTCTTAATTGTTTTGGATTTGTTATTGTAGGTCTTTTCCTTCTCTTGTGTTTCTTGCCTAGAGAAGTTCCTTTAGCATTTGTTGTAAAGCTGGTTTGGTGGTGCTGAACTCTCTCAGCTTTTGCTTGTCTGTAAAGGTTTTAATTTCTCCATCAAATCTGAATGAGATCCTTGCTGGGTAGAGTAATCTTGGTTGTAGGTTTCTCTCCTTCATCACTTTAAATATGTCCTGCCAGTCCCTTCTGGCTTGCAGAGTTTCTGCTGAAAGATCAACTGGTAACCTTATGGGGATTCCCTTGTGGGTAGAGTAATCTTGGTTGCAGGTTTTTCTCCTTCATCACTTTCAGTATGTCCTGCCACTCCCTTCTGGCTTGTAGAGTTTCTGCTGAGAGATCAGCTGTTAACCTTATGGGGATTCCCTTGTGTGTTATTTGTTGTTTTTCCCTTGCTGCTTTTAATATGCTTTCTTTGTATTTAGTTTTTGACAGTTTGATTAATATGTGTCTTGGCGTATTTCTCCTTGGATTTATCCTGTATGGGACTCTCTGTGCTTCCTGGACTTGATTAACTATTTCCTTTCCCATATTAGGGAAGTTATCAACTATAATCTCTTCAAATATTTTCTCAGTCTCTTTCTTTTTCTCTTTTTCTTCTGGAACCCCTATAATTCGAATGGTGGTGCGATTAATATTGTCCCAGAGGTCTCTGAGACTGTTCTCAGTTCTTTTCATTCTTTTTTCTTTATTCTGCTCTGCAGTAGTTATTTCCACTATTTTATCTTCCAGTTCACTTATCTGTTCTTCTGCCTCAGTTATTCTGCTATTGATCCCATCTAGAGCAATTTTAATTTAATTTATTGTGTTGTTCATCATTTCTTGTTTCATCTTTAGTTCTTCTAGGTCCTTGTTAGATGTTTCTTGCATTTTCTCTATTCTATTTCCGAGATTTTGGATCATCTTTACTATCATTATTCTGAATTCTTTTTCAGGTAGACTGCCTATTTCCTCTTCATTTGTTAGGTCTGGTGCCTTTTTATCTTGCTCCTTCATCTGCTGTGTGTTTTTCTGTCTTCTCATTTTGCTTATCTTACTGTGTTTGGGGTCTCCTTTTTGCAGGCTGCAGGTTCGTAGTTCCCGTCGTTTTTGGTGTCTGCCCCCAGTGGCTAAAGTTGGTTCAGTGGGTTGTGTAGGTTTCCTGGTGGAGGGGACTAGTGCCTGTGTTCTGGTGGATGAGGCTGGATCTTGTCTTTCTGGTGGGCAGGTCCAAGTCTGCTCATGTGTTTTGGGGTGTCTGTGGACTTACTATGATTTTAGGTAGCCTCTCTGCTCATGGTGGGGTTGTGTTCTTGCCTTGCCAGTTGTTTGGCATAGGGTGTCCAGCACTGTAGCTTGCTGGTCGTTGAGTGAAGCTGGGTGCTGGTGTTGAGATGGAGATCTCTGGGAGATTTTCACCATTTGATATTATGTGGAGCTGGGAGGTCTCTTGTGGACCAGTGTCCTGAAGTTGGCTCTCCTACCTCAGAGGCACAGCACTGACTCCTGGCTGCAGCACCAAGAGCCTTTCATCCACCCACATGGCTCAGAATAAAAGGGAGAAAAAGTAGAAAGGAAGAAAGAAAGAAAGAAAGGGAGGAAGGGAGGAAGGGAGGAAGGAAGGAAGAAAGAAAAGAAAAGAAGGTAAGATAAAATAAAATAAGTTATTAAAATAAAAAATAATTATTAAGAAAAAAATTTTAAACAAACAGATAGAACCCTAGGACAAATGGTGAAAGCAAAGCTATACAGACAAAATCTCACACAGAGGAATACACATACACACTCACAAAAAGAGGAAAAGGGGAAAAAATAATAAATCTTGCTCTGAAAGTCCACCTCCTCAATTTGGGTGATTCGCTGTCTATTCAGGTATTCCACAGAGGCAGGGTACATCAAGTTGATTGTGGAGCTTTAATCCGCTGCTTCTGAGGCTGCTGGGAGCGATTTCCCTTTCTCTTCTTTGTTCTCACAGCTCACAGGGGCTCAGCTTTGGATTTGGCCCCGCCTCTGCGTGTAGGTCGCCGGAGGGCGTCTGTTCTTCGCTCAGACAGGACGGAGTTAAAGGAGCAGCTGCTTTGGGGGCTCTGGCGCACTCAGGCCGGGGGCAGGGAGGGGTACGGCATGCGGGGCGAGCCTGCGGCGGCAGAGGCCGGCAGGATGTCGCACCAGCCTGAGGCGCGCCGTGCGTTCTCCTGGGGAAGTTGTCCCTGGATCCGGGGACCCTGGCAGTGGCGGGCTGCACAGGCTCCCGGGAAGGGAGGTGTGGATAGTGACCTGTGCTCAGCAGCGGCCTTAGCGTCTCATGCCCGTCTCTGGGGTCCGCGCTTTTAGCCGCGACTCGCGCCCGTCTCTGGAGCTCCTTTAAGCAGCGCTCTTAATCCCTTCTCCTCGCGCACCAGGAAACAAAGAGGGAAGAAAAAGTCTCTTGCCTCTTCGGCAGGTCCAGACTTTTCCCCGGACTCCCTCCCGCCTAGCTGTGGTGCACTAACTCCCTGCAGGCTGTGTTCCCGCCGCCAACCCCAGTCCTCTCCCTGCGCTCCGACCGAAGCCCGAGCCTCAGCTCCCAGCCCTTCCCGCCCCGGCAGGTGAGCAGACAAGCCTCTCGGGCTGGTGAGTGCCGGTTGGCACCAATCCGCGGCTCCGAAGCTTCCCCCTTACACCACCTTGATGTGAGGCTCATACCCCTTCTCAGCTGTGATATCCTTCTTGCTTGTGGCTCACCAATCAGGGTATGGGTCCTGACTAGACTGCATCTGCACCCCTTTTACCCATGTCACTGTGGCTCCTTCTCTATATCTTTAGTTCAGCAGGTGTTCTGTAGGAGTTGTTCCACGTGTAGGTATATTTCTGGTGTACCTGTGGGGAGGAAGTTGATCTCCGCGTCTTACTCTTCCGCCATCTTCCCGATTCCCCCCAATCTTTTTTTGAACCATACTTTTCATTCTAGTTCTATCCTTAGGAAATCAAGGATAGCATTGGTTTCATTGTCACCTCTGGTCTCTTAGCAGTACTTATCCACAGTCTTCTTTTGCAGGGGATTTTGAGGCTACCAAGGCACAAAGAAGTGATGTGGTTGATTATTAATATCTACAAGAGCAATACCAGGAGGAGTAGTGTCCCTCTTGTCTCATGATTCTCTAACCTCTTTACGTTTTGCTTTTTTTATTGAGGGTACTTGAATGAACTGATGGAACTTGCGACTGAGAAGCAGAAGCTTTCAAGTTCTATCTCTTTGTCAATGGCAAGGCTGCCATGAATGTCAGGAGGAGGCTGAATACTCTAATTCCTCATCCTGATGAAATTACTTTAAAGCATTTTAACTTTGGATTTGAGATTGCTAATTGATGACTTTTTATTATTTTTGTAGGCCGCACTCAGCATATTCGGCATGGTTGGGGGACCACTTCTGGGCTTATTTGCTTTGGGGATTTTGGTTCCCTTTGCCAACTCAATAGTAAGTATTAAAAATGAATATGTGTAAAGCCTACTTTTCCAACTGCAGTAGCGCCTCTGTAATTTTTTCTCAATTGTAAAGATACGGTTCCTTTGATATTTGTCATTAGTGACCTGTCTTGATGTCTTAAATTACTCATATTGACTTTGCTGGGATACACAATGAACGTACTATGCTTTGGGACCCTGCATGTGTGGAACTAAATGGAAACTACCAGAATAATATATATTATGAATATCATATAATTAAATTATATAATAACATGATATTTATAAATAAAATATATTATAGAGTATTATATAACATAACTAAAGGATATATATTATGGAACAATATACAATATGATATATAATAGATACTACAATATATATTATGAATATTATATAACTAAAGGAACAACATTTTGTACGTATCTACTTTTTGCCGTTCTTGAAAATTAATCACTAGGATTTAAAGGAGATGGACAGGCTCAGATATGCACAATTTCAGGGCAGTAGAGCTGAGGATACCTGTGACTAGCCAGAGTACAGTAAAGAGAAGAAATAGGATAAAATCTTCACCACTTTGGTCAGAAAATTTATACTCCTGATATTTAAAGATGTAGCTCCACCAACATGGTTTTAGACCCAAAGGAGTGATTATAACTGGGAATTGTATTCAGAAAGAGGTAATAGCTCATTTCTTCTACATAGACATATCTGTGCTTTGAGGGCAAGTTTTGTTTAGAATAAGTGAAATTGAAATTACTTCTCTGAAATCCAGGAGGAACTCCACTAGTTCAGTCCTGCCGTAAGCTGAGGTTCAGGAAAAGCTGGTAATGTATGTGTGGTTGTTTCAGACAGATGGAGAATAACTGCAGAACTATGACTTTACATTTAGAATTCCATTTTCCTCATGAGGCATTAGGAATTGGTAAGGCAGATACTAATAAGGGCTATTATCATTGTTATTATTGTTAACAATAATTCTCAACAAAGTGTCATATGAAAAGCTAGTTTGGCAGAAATTAATCAAAATGAAAGAGAGCAGTTTGTGTCCACCTCAGAATGTTGAAGCTTTGATGAGATTCTTTGCATTATGAAACACATAGTGGTTTGTTGAGTGCCTGAAATATTAAAAGAAGACTGACTTTTGATTTTTGACATTTATTTCCACCATGAGTTGCCTCCAGAAATGCTATAGCTGACTAGGTCCAACACGCCCTTAGAAGGGGAAGTAAGAACTGTTATTCCTGTCATAATATCTGATCATGATTCTTAAAGAAAGGGGAGAAATTTCACCACAGAGGAAGGGGCTTCCCAGCTCAAGATTTGCTTTCATCTCCATCATTTGGAACTAGGGCTTAAATCATTCAAGGACTGACTGACTGATCAAAACTACTTGGATTACTGGTGAAAAGCAGGCAGGGGAACCCACGTCTTCCAAAGACTGGGAAACCAAATGTCTTCAGAGAGGAAGTCTCCACTTATCTCTAGAGATGGTTTGGTTGTATGTACCATTGCAGTAATTTGTGAAAACAGCTGGCTATTTTCCCCTAATTTTCCTGCAGTACAATTACAGACATGCATGTTGCTACGTAGAGGAATAAATTCTGTGGGTGTTTTCTTCTTCGTATCTGTTGCTGCTCAGATGGCATGCCATTTTTTCACAGATTAAATGAAAATAGAGGGAACAGTTGGCCTGAAGTCAGCTGCATGACTGTTGTAGTTATTGGGTGTAAAGAGACAAGGAGGCCAAAACAGAGTGCTGGCCATGGAAACAGAGTGGAAGGAATGGAATTATGAGACAAAGGAAAAGAAAAATGGGCAGGAATTGGTGATCGGCGAGATAGAGATACGAATTATATGGGGAGTTCCAGAGACCCCAGGGCTTTGGGCTGAGGGACCAGGGACCCGTGCTGCTCTTGGCAAGAGGCAAGGAGCTTACAGGGGAAAAGAGGTTTAGGAGGGGACTTCTGGTAAATTTGGCTTGGACCATGTTGAGCTTAAGCTCCTAATGTTAATTTCCATTTCAGAGCAAACTGTATTATTTTTTTTGAGAAGTACTCCTGTTTTGCAGGGAGCACTTGTGGGTCTGCTGGCTGGATTTACCGTTTCTTTGTGGGTCGGAATTGGAGCTCAACTTTATCCTCCACTTCCTGAGAGAACTATGCCATTAAGCCTGGAAACCTACGGCTGTAACAGCACATACAATGGGACAGATTGGATAACAACCACAGAAGTGCCATTTTCTACCAGTGCTTTTCAAGTATACAACATTGAAAGGTATTGAATTGAGCTTTAGACTGTTGTATTTTTTTAAATGTGTGTGACAGGTAGAGAACCCCAGTTGCTTTTCTTGCCTTCAGTGCTGTGATTTTGCCTAATTCTGAAATGGGGAGAGCCCATGTGGCTTTCTGGCTATGATATTTTGTTCATAAATAGCAAAAAATGCCATATTTTCTTAGTTTCAATAGAAACGTCTACCTCACCTACAGATGCAGAGAAGACTTGAATAGTAACAAAAAAAATTCCTTTATGGGTAACTGCTGATAAATACTGGCTCCAGTTGAATGAAAAAATGCCTCTGTACACTGAAAAACCTTTAAAATGAAAAGTAAAATGATAAAAGACAAATTGCATATATAGTTTTTGAAGTATAGCCTTTACCAACTAAAAGCTACAGTTTATCTAAATATGTTGGATAATTGCTATTTGTTCAGTTTTAAAGATTCCATATCTTTAGAGCATTGGCAATAAGTCACAGCGGTGATCTTCCTGCTAGAGTTTTCAGTTATGCAGTACATTTTTGAGCTTCTGGATATTGATATTGTCTGATTTAATGAAATGATGTAGACCTTTTTTTATATCACTATTTCACTGCACAGTGGATGTGAGGGCAAGACTCCCCTTAGTGGATATATATCAATACATCTCCAGCCTTTAAAGCACAAAACCCATGGATACATTCAAGGAATACAAAGATGAGCCCACTTCCCCTAAAGTATTGCCCCAGTTCCAGCTTGCCTAGAATGAAACCATTGGAGAATCATTCCATTTGAGACAAGACATGGCATCCCCCTCTTAAAATGGACACACTCCTGGGAGAAAGAATGTGACCATACATATAAACATCATTGGTGACTTATGTCCCAGAGGGAATTCAGCAGTGAGAACACTTGTCAGTGGGAGTTCAAGGCTGGTAAACTCTGCATGGGTAGAGAGAAAAGATAGTTTCAGAGCCTGAGGCATGTATGGGGGAAGGTTTGACTAGGTGGGGTGCTGTGGTGAGAGGGGTGCACAGAAATACAGTGAGTAGTCCCGATAAGCATGAATGCAGTAATGTGGGGGGGGCAGTTAGTCAGGAAGTCATTAGAGAGTGAAAAAGGGAGCAATTATTAATTAAGTGTAAGTAGGAGGACGTTGAAGTTGTGCTTTTTGTTTTACAATTTTGCTTAGCATTTGTCCTGATTATGTAAATGGCTCTTTTAATTTAAAAGAGTAAGGCAAATTGGTTATTTGGATTTCTGAAACTATGTGCCTGGTACCATAACAATCACTTTTATACGTTAGCTTATTTATAAAATAACTCAGCTAATAAACAAGAATTTTTGAGCATGAACTATGCACCCGGCACTGGGCTGACCATTTATGTAATATCCATAGACAGTCTTCCGCTCCCATCCACCATGGTTCCTGCCTTCCAGGCAATTATAATCTAGCTGGAGAGAACATGCTACAAGGAACTCAGAACACATGATAAGTATAATAACTAGCTAATAAATAGTTGAAAGTATTTGTTAAAAGAATGATTATAAACAAAGTTGGAGTGTAGATTAGCACAGACTTCAGGATCTACTAATACTTGAAGAATGCAGAAGTTGGCTAGAAGAGAAGGTCTGGAAAGTTATGCTTGTCACAGAAAACGACCAGAAGGGAAGTTGAACAAGAGAATAAACAATTAAACAATGTTGTGAACAGTAGTATTCATAGGCTCTCATGGGATCCAGGAGGAGGAAGAGCCTAACTCTTCCTGGGTGGAAGATGCTTCTTAGAGAAGTATTCCATGAACTGGAGCTACTCAGGTGAACGGGATTGGGCAGTGGGGACAAAAGGAAGATGGAGTGTATGTTGCAGAATGAAGGCAACATATGCAGAGGCATGAAGGCCTAAAGCCACATGGCATCTTAGGAAATCATGCATAGTTCAGTATGGCTAGAGTCCAAGGGGAGTGAACGCACAGCTAAAGGTGAAGTAAGATACGTTTTGGTTGCCTAGGTATTGGGTTTCAATTACTCAGATTCAGTTTTTATTTAAGTTTCTAGTACTTGATGGGTACATATTGGTAGCTTGTTGTGCTTTTAACTTGCATTTCCCTTATGATTAATGAAGTTCAATACCTTTTTACATGTTTATTGGCCATTCGTATAACTACTTTTGTGACTTGTCTGTTGAAATCTTTGGTCCATTTTTAAATGGGTTCTCTGTCCTTTTATTATTTATTTAGGATTTCTTGATATATTCTAGATTCAAGATAAGTTTTGAAAATATTTTTCTCCCACTCTCTGGCTTGCCTTTTTGCTCTCTTAGTGATGCTTTTTTTTTTTTTTTTTTTTTTTCCTTGCGTTATGCGGGCCTCTCACTGTTGTGGCCTCTCCCATCTGCGGAGCACAGGCTCCGGACGCGCAGGCTCAGCGGCCATGGCTCACGGGCCCAGCCGCTCCGCGGCATGTGGGATCTTCCCGAAACGGGGCACGAACCCGCGTCTCCTGCATCGGCAGGCGGACTCTCAAGCACTGCGCCACCAGGGAAGCCCTTAGTGATGCTTTTTAGTGGTCAGATTTTCTTAATTTTAATTGAGTTCAACTTATCAGTCTTTTCCTATATGGTTAGTCCTTCGTGAATTCCTTTTAAGAAATCTTTGCCTACCCTGAGGTCATAAAGCTATTCCTCTATTTTTTTATTTAAAAGCTTTCTTGTTCACCATTTCCATTTGGGAAATGTAATCCACTTCAGAATTGATTTCAAGTGATCAAGATTCGTTTTTTCCCATATGGATATTCATTTTTTTTGGACTAGAAGAACCGTTTTTTTGTTGTTGTTTTTTTTTCATAACTCACACACACACACCGTATTTTATTTTTACAAGAGATAAACTGACACCAAGCATTGTAAATGGATGGCCACAACAAAAGCAACAATGATTGCAATTACCAAACACGAAACACACTCATACTATGTCATAATATTGACATTCAGTCCAGTAATCCTCCACTGTAACAGCTCCTTTACTTTGCAGTGAAAATTGATTTGTATATTTTTTGCCTCTGAGTCCTTGTGGGATTTTTTTTTAATTCAAACAGAAAGTCACAAAAATTATAATCATCCTCATCAGTTCACTCAGTCCCATATAATTAATTTTTTTTTTCATCTTGATCTTTTGTTAGCACTTTTATGAATTCATCAGTTTTCCATTAGAGTTCTGAAAATGCTTATTCATTCAGTTCAGCAGTTTAGTCAGTTACCAGAAACCTGTACTTGTCAGAGTTTTTTCCATGAATTCCTTGAAGATGAAACCCTTTTATAGGAAAATTTTTGCGAAAGCATCAGAGTACACCCAGAACTGTCTGTAAATGACAAAAGACTTAAAAATGGATATTCTATTAACCAAGCACCATTTGTTGAACAGAGCCTCCTTTTACCCCACTTTGCAATGCAGTGGCAACTTTGGCATAAACCAAATGTCTATTTTTCTGTGGGTCTGTTTTTCAGTTATCTATTTGGTTCTATTTTGTCTGTCTTTGGCCCAATATATCACATTATCTTAATTTAACTAGCTCACCTCTGTTTTTCCCTTCTTTCTGGGATGTTGGCTTCTCAAGTTCTAACTGCCATGATCTCTCTGAGGTCTTCAAAAACCTGCCTCCTCCCATTTCCCAGTTTTCATATTTTGTTCTTGGCAGGATGGTGGATCTACTCTATCAAAGCTGAAAGTGGAATCCTAGAGCAATTGTTTTAGAAGCAGATCAGGTCATGTCACTCCTCCACTTAAAATTCTGCATGTGCCCTCCAAGTTCATCCATGTTGCTGCACATGGAAGTGAAATAAGTCATACAAAGACAGATGCTGTATGATATCGCTTATATGTGGAATCTAAAAAACATAACATACTAGTGACTGTAACAAAAAAGAAGCAGACTCACAGATATAGAGAACATACTGGTGGTTGCCAGTGGGGAGAGGGGCAATATAGGGGTAGGGGATTAAGAGTTACAAACTGTTAGTTATAAAATAAGCTACAAGGTTATATTGTACAACACGGGGAGTATAGCCAATATTTTATAATGAATATAAATGGAGTATAACCTTTAAAACTTATGAATCACTATATTGTACACCTGTAACATATAATATTACACATCAACTCTAATAAAATATAAATTTAAAAGATGCAAATAAAATAAAATAATAAAAATACTGCAGTGTGTGCCGCTATCCAGAGAGTAAGATCCAAACTCATCCAAGTCCTACGAAAAGACCTCTAACTCATCTTGTACCATTCTATATCTCGTTCGTTATGCTACCGTCTGCTGGTGTTTACCTCTCTCTGGAATGCTTTCTCAAGAACTTCTGTTATTCAGATCTCAGTTCAAATGTCTCTTCTTCACAAAGACTTTCCCTGACCACTCCTTGTAGTGTAGTTCCTTTTTTCTACCCTGTTAGTGTCACATTACCTTGTTTCATTTTCCTTGTATACTTTCCACCAGTGGGAATTATTACGTTTATTAATTTGTTTACTTGTTCATTACATTTCTCTATTAGAATGTAAACTTTCTGAGGGCAGGAACAACCTTATCCAGCTTTTTTATGGCAGACTTTCCAATAACAAGAACAGTACCTGGGACACAAAGCAGAGTTGAATGAATAAACATGGACATTTAGTATTCTAGTATGTGGTTAAGATTAAGTCATACTTTTAATTCCTGATCCAATAAGATAAAATTGGAACAGCAGATGTGGACATTAAAAACATGATTAAATATTATATTTTGACTTTGCCATGACGTTTATTGACACATACTGTTAGCTGCTAGTAGCATGCATGAAATCTTACGGTTATGCTTTTGCTCTCTCTTAGGACTCCACTGATGGATAACTGGTATTCTTTATCATATCTGTACTTCAGTACTGTTGGAACTTTGGTAACGGTATTTGTGGGAATGCTTATCAGTTTATCAACAGGTAACTAAACATTAGTATTGCTGTATTACCGTTACATTAGTTTTTACTATATCTGTTTTATAAGTATTTATGTTATTTTACTATAGTCCTAACAACTAGTTTAATTATTTGTTCCATTTCACTCATGGGAAATTTTACGGCCTGGTCTTGAAAACAGAAGACCCACCTCAGTTTGAATCTTTGTTATGCCATTTATTAGCTGAAAGAACTTATAGCTACTACATAGCTACTCTGAGCCTTAGCTATCCTATGTATAAAATGAGGATAATAATTGACCTGCCTATCTCACAGGTCTCTGTAAGATAAAAATAAAATGCTTGAAGAAATTGTGTATAGCTACTACAATGCTAGGGATTTTACACATACCATTACAATAGCTCTGTGCCATGATCGTCTCATTGTCCTGCACTGACGCTTTGTAAAGAAGTATACACATGTAAGGAATAATAATTACGATCTTTATATCTAAACATAGTGTGAAGCCTTTTCTCAGATGTTCATAAACTTTAAAAAAATAATTTTTAAAGGAAATCAAGCCAATAATACACATAGCATACACAGCTCTCTGGGATTGCCATAGAACTGTTACCCTGGGACTTCATTTTGTCCTCGTTCTGTGAATTCTCTTGGTCTCCCTCCAGTGTTGGATTCCCTGCTGCCTGTATCCCATTACTCCTAATTCTTGTTTACACCCTTAACTGAATGGGGCACATCCTATAGCACATTCTTGAGAAAGGGTGGACAAGAGATCTTGGAAACATTGCATAGCTGAAAAAACAAAGCCTTTAATTTCTCCTTATGCTTGATAATTGCTGATAATTTGAGTAGAGAATCCTAGGTTGAGAGTAACTTTCTTGTTCCTGGAGGCTGTGTTACTTCTCTTCAACTTGCCTTGTTGCTGTTGAGAATACCATTGCCCTGCTGCCTGCAGCCCGTTCGCATGTGACCCATTTCACAATGACTGCCTTGCCCTAGCCTCTCAGGAGGGTTTCAGTCTGAAGACCCATGTCCTGCAGTTCTAGGGCACTTTCCTATATTATTTCTTTTGTAATTTCCTGCCATTTTCTGTTTTCTCTTTCTGGAAACTCCTGTTAGTCAAATGTTTTAAACTTGGACAGTCCTTCTGATTTTCTTATCTTTTCTCTCCTATTTTCCATCTCTGTGTCTCTTAGGTTTACTACATGGATTATTTTTAAAATGACTTTTCCAGTAATTTTCAAAGGAGTGCTCTGATTCACTTTTGAGAATACTCTGTAAGGGAAGGAGGGCAGGTAGAGGCTATTGCAGTAGCCCACGTGAGCAATCACGTGGCTTGGAGCAGGGCAGTAGTGTGGAGTTAGGGAGAAGTGCTGGGCTCCCTAATTTCCTACGTTTCCTCACACATACACATCCAGAGCAACCAAGCAGGGGGAGGCAGCTTCCCTGCCTTCTTTATCCAATGTGTTATGACTAGTCAGAAATCCTATAATTTGTCCAAGTATGCCTGATGTCTTTGTTTGCTTTATGCTGTAAATCTACCAGCATGGTGCTACTTTATAGAATTCTACCATCTCTCATTGTTTTTTTGGACCTGGATAGCCCTGTCTTTGAAACTTCTGTGATACTTATATCACAGGATGTGTATTTATAATTAATAAATTATATTAATAACTAGTGGTGATATTAATATAATTGTATCAATGATTATATTAACATTATATAATTATAATTATTTTAGACATTACAATTTATAATTATTGTAAACTTATAATAATGTTTGTAGCTATTTGTTACCTCTCAAACAGTTGTTTAAACTATTCCCTTTCTTTTCAAAAAGGACTATGCTTTTTCTCGTAAGTAAAATTTCCAGCACAGTCGGTTTACTCTCTTATCTGTTGTGATATATTTTAAGACAGATCTTAAACTTTTCTCACCAATAACCCAACTGTTCAGATCTGGAACACACCTAACCAGTCTCCTTTTCCTATTTGACCTTTGGTCCTTTTTCAACCCTTTTTTTTTTTTTTCCTTTAAAAAGATGGGAGTGTCAGAGTACTCCCTCTGAGTGCTCCTTTTTTCCCCACTTAAATACTTTGATTCTGATAACCTTCTACAGCTTTATCTTTTGCTTTAAAAAGTGAAGGTGAACAGGCATCCAGTGATTAAAAAACACTTCAACTTCATTAACCTCATATATAACTTATTCCTACTTCATACCATCAGTGAGAACCTTGCAAAAAAAGTCTAGAAGCATAAAATCCTGATGCTCCTTGGGAAATATATTTAAAGATCTACTGTAGGATACTAGGAACATGTAGGAATTCAGGCCAAACAGACTTGGTTGGCATTTCAGCTTCACCTAATCACAGATGGTGCACCATGAATGTGTCTCTTCACTGGTAAAGTGGGGTAAATATTTTCCTACCTAGACTATGAGCTATGAGTGCAGTGATTATTTTATTCATCTCTGTCTCTCCAGCACCTGGTAGAGTCTCTAGAACATGGTAGGCACTCAACAATATTGAATGAATTAATTTAAGGTTGAACCCATCTCCTGAGCAACAGAGGTTCCCTTAATTAAAAATCTAGTATTTATACTAAAATGGTGTCTCTCAAACTTTAGAGGGCAGAAGAATCACCTTGGAAATTTGGTAAAAATCAGGACTCAGTGGCTTCACCCACAGAGGTTCTAATTGGGTCAGTCCAGGTTGGAATCCAGGAATCTGCATGTTCAGTACATCTCCTAGGTGCTTTGGATAGAGGTAGTTGGAGAACAACTCTTTGAGATACACAGTTTTAAAAGCCTCCTCTCTGATTCACAAATAAAATACCGAGCCAAAGAATAATTTTTGTAGAGCTAAACTTTAGGGAAGAGAATTTGGATCAGACACCTATCATCATACTGGTTTTCATTTAAATAATTTGTCCAACAATTCATAATTTCCTGCATTTCTTCACACATTCATAGCCACTAAACTGGGGAAGGGCAACGCCATCAAGCAGAGGTTTGATATTTTATTGGTAGATCATGAAGGATGCATTTAAACCAGTTTTCCTACCAGTATTGGGCCAGATGACTCTTCCCTAGTTGATACCAGATGAGACAGTTGGCTTGCATTTAAGAATCACCTTATTTATCTTTAAACACTAGACTCATATGTATCAGTGACAGGCTTGCAGAATCTGAGACTGACTGAGGGAAGAGAAATGGTAGGCTAAGTCTCCAGCACTATTTAAATGACTCTTTCTCTTTGTGTTTTATAAGTGCATAGAAGTGAATGTGCCCAAGTTAAATGTGTGTATGATGGTCCATCACTGGGTAGTTACAGATATCTTTTTAACAATGTAAATAACCTATGTTTTTCAGGAGGAAGAAAACAAAACATAGACCCCAGATTCCTACTAACCAAAGAGGACTTTTTATCCAATTTTGACATTTTTAAGAAAGTGAGTTGGCTTTCTTTTTCCTTAAATTAGTAAGACTGTGCTTTTATCACCAGGACAGAATACTAGTTACTCCTTAGACTTTCTTTTGGACGAGGAAGGTATTTGCCTTCCTTTTTTTAATGTTTATCTCTGCCTCAATAGACTATGAAGCTGATTTAGAGAAAGAAAAGTAGTAGTAACAATTATTTAGAGTTGAACAAACAGTTTCTTTTTTCTAATCACCATGTTAACATTTTCTTTTAGAAGAAGCAAGTTTTAGACTATAAATCTCATCCAATAGAAGATGGTGGAACCGATAATCCTGGCTTCAACCATATTGAATTGAACTGCACAGATCAAAGTGGCAAGATCAATGGGACTCGTTTGTGAAGCAGCTGTGATGCTAAATTATCTTAAACAGTGTCCCAGTTTTATATGTTTTTTAAGATAATTGGATCAGGTTTAGAATTTTTTTTGTCCTATCATGAGTGTTTTGGGGGAACTTTGGGGGGGTATACATTTTTGTTAAAGCAAATTTTGACTTTTACTTTCTATACTCATTAATTGATGCTACTCTGAATGTAAGAGTTTCAGCATCAGTATTTTCCTCTATCTCTCTACAATTATTTCAGTGAAGCTGTAGTTGTGAAAGTTTTGAAAGTTGTGACTACATATGTGCTGAAAAGCTAATACACACATATACACACATACTCGATGGTCAAAAGCATATTCTTAAATTAGGGCATCATTAAAAATATTTCCCTGCATTTGGTGCTAGCATATATTTTGGAGTTTGCTGAAATCATAATTAATATTGAAAAGGACCTTTCTCCCTCCTACCACATACTCTATTCTTAGGGAGCAATGAAGTGACAGGTCTGTGCCGTCTCCATCTTTGCTTCTCATCAACCCCTGTCAGCCCAGGGCACGTTTAATCTTGGAATTGATTCTGGCTCGGGAGGGTGGTAATCAAGAAGCATCCTGTTTGGGACAGAACATGGGCCCAATGGTCAAGGTCTTTTTGGTGCTATGCGTCTCTTGTGCCTTTTTGCTTGTTAACTACAGTTCCCGGCCATTGGCTGCTTTTATTGCCTTTCTTAGACTCTGGTTCTTATCTGGATTCCTGGTTTCTCACCCACTAACTTTGGTTTTGTTGCACATATTACCTTTGCTCGCCTTCCTGATTTCCTGTTCACTCTATTGCCTTGGGCTTGTGTATGTCTTGAGACACCCAATGTGAATCATTCTACCCCAGATCCTGGTTCACTGCGTCCTGGCCTATGAATATAAACTCCCGTGAGCCTTATACTGACCAAAGTACTTTCAGCTAGGTACTTACAGATTTGGTGGTCCAAGAACATTTACACAATTAAAAATGGGTAAGCTCTGTGGAATTAGATGATTCCATTGAATGCTGTGGAGCTGAATGTCAACTAATTTGCAATGATTTAAATTTAAATGTACATATGCTTATAAATGATTCACTCTGTTATAAAGCAGAAACTAACACACCATTGTAAAGCAATTATACCCCAATAAAGATGTTAAAAAATAAAAAAATAATAAAATAAATGTACATATGCTTAGACATATTGAATTCCAATGTATCCACCTGGTTGATGAGCTAAATTACATAGGCAAACACTACTATTTTTGTTTAGTGTCCGGAATTACTGAATATATGCTATGTTCCATGCTTTAAAATTTCAAGTAGCAATCTCAAAGTTTATTTTGTTTATTTTCCTACATCTCTAGCTAAGACTTTGGTTACAGGCTTTCATCAATAACTTATTTTTTTTCTACAGTTCACACATTAGATACTGTTTAGAAGGGTTTTTTTTAAGCATTACACTGTTTTAAAGTAATAATGTGTGAAACATTTAGTTACATTAAAATATTTTATGATTAAATAATTTTTGCTTATTGTCTGATATTTAGGTGAGCATGCTGTACAGAGGTTGGCAATTAAAAACATTAAGAAATGTTTTTAATGTTAATGTTTTTAATGTTTTATTCATGTTATTAAGAAACATTAATAAAAAATAAGAAATAGCATTAATCTAAACCAAATAGGTTTATACATTTAAATTAATGATATATTCACATATTTTCTATGTGTATAGTTGTTATCTTTTAATCAACATATTTGTAAGCATCCATCAAACTTTGTAACTCTTTCTATGATTTTTTAATGAGTAGGAAGATATAATCTTATTTGTTTTATGTGAGTGTGATTTGAACAATTGTTATTTATTTAGTAATTCTAAATGCACATGTGTGTACTTTCCTTCAATTTTGGAAATCAAAATCAGGTTATTTAAATAATTTTTTCTCTTTTCTGACTGCCAAGGAGTTATGGAATATATTCTTTTTTTTTTTTTTTTT